AGACAACAAATGGTCTGATTTGGTGAATAGGCTTTAGTAACAGCAGCACTGCTCAAGTGATTCCTTAATGACATCCTAGTCTCAAACAGTAATTAATTTCTTCAGCAGGTTTGAGAAATATTTCTGAAAAACAAGGATAGTGACCCTGCTTACGGTAGCAGGTCTGTTCTTTACCTCCATTCCAACGTTTCAAGCAAGACATGATTTCTCCTATTACTTTCAGCAAAGCCAAGTGGTGTATTCCTTTTGGCAAAGGCAAAACTAAGTGATTGGCATCTAAACAGCCAAGATATAGGAAAAGCCTTGTTAGCAATTCCATGTTTCAGATGAGACAGTATGTGGTGAAACTCCAGTGGCGAGCACACTTTGTTACTGTACAGTAATGCAAATGCAGGAGTGATTGCATACAAAATGTGCTACTTCACTTGGTTACTGATAGAAGTGAAATTCTGGAAATTGGTCTTTAATCTTGAATCAAGATTACTTAAGTGGAGATTTCCAAGACTGCCACCTCAGCAACCTTAAAGTCAGCACATGAACTTCTCTGAGACAGAACATTAATGCACTGGTGCTGGGCAAAGTATTAGTGAAGAAGTAGCACAGGTCGGTCTAGTTTGAAAGTGGAGGGACGGGGAGCAGACTCTGGAATGAAGAAACAGGAAGATGTCCCAGCAGGAGGGACTTGGCATATTTGCAACAGAGACACTGAAGAGACGCTGTTCAACAGGCTTTTTTTTTTTTTTGTTAGGAAGGTCCTGTACCTTTTCGTGGAACACTTGTTAAAGCCAGCATGGAAAGGAAGAAGACCACCAGCTCAAATACCCTCAAGTACTGCATTGTTACTGTAGAAATGACCAAATAAAAGTGAAATTCAAACACGCACCCCCTCCCCCCCCCCCCAACAAAAACCTTGGTTATTGTAATGCCCCACTGGAAGACAGAGGCTCTGGCCACACATAATTAAGCCTGCTTAGCACATAAGATAACTGAGAGATAAAAAATGTATGGCTCTACAGATATGAAGACCACAGATAATCACTACTCTTGAATAAACTGCGGAACTCTGATCTGCATACAGTGTAATACACACAAGCCCAGAACAGCATGGCATCTTGCATCTTCAGCACGCTACTTCTACAGTATGTATTTGAGTTATAAATCAGTAAAACTATTTAAACAAGACCTGAACACATTTAGTTCTTCACTTGTCTGTTTGCATCATAAAATACAAGCGTTTCACTTAAATATTTGGGCATTTTTCTCCCTGCTCAAATCATATTCAACTAGAGGATAGCTATAGTGAGAAGTATTTGCACCATCTTACTCTGCTAGAATTTCATGACTCCAACAACTTTCTCCTCTGCTGCCTTAAGGAACTGAAAATCTCTTCCACATAATACATGGCAACTCTAAAAGCTTTCTATTTAGTATTTCTTCAATGCATTTTTAATATATTTGACTTCCATGTCCAAACAAAAGTTAACTAAATATTGTCTTTGGGATATGTGAAATAAAACTGAACATATTTGATGAATTGTACCCAACCATACACAGTGGACAAATAACTTCACAAAATGCCAGGAACATTCATCAGTTATGTTTAATAAAAGAAAAATAGAAAATTAAAATAAAATAAATCAGCCAACCCGGCTTCCTACAACTAGTTCCATACTTGCTGGCAAGAAGAGGAAAAAACGGAGTAAACTGCTTTTCCCTTTACTTCAGAGTTCATCCAGCCTCCTGGGCACCAAAAGTCAATTTCTCTATTCCTCAGACTATTCTGCTACTCTACCCTTTCCTCTGCCTCCACCTGAACTCTTGGGCGATCTCTGGACTGCCTAGAGATTATGTGTGCCCATAAGAATGATACAGGCTCAATTAATTTTAAATATTCAAATGGATCAAAAACAAGAAGGGAAAAAATGTAGAGATCCACTTGTCTTCTAGCACCTTTGAGCAGAACAGGACTATCTACCTTAACAAATAGTTAAAACCATAAAACCAATATTAGCTAGAAAATTTCTTTTTAATGGAAGCGTGAGTTTTAGCAGAACAGTGATCAATAATCCTGTGGGTGTCTTTTTTTTTTTTTTTTAATCCAAATTAATCGTGCAGATCTCTTTCCCTCTGTACTACAGGAACACTGTAAAATGCTTTCCAAATGGAAAAATGTTTCTATAAGAACTTCCACATACCTGTGAAGTGACTAGGTTAGTCTAGTTAGCGTTGCAACACACAAAGGCAAAGTGCACACGTTTCTGAACTCAGAATTTGTTAGTTAAGTGGAAATGCTGGCTTGCAAGCACATCCTTATGCAAAAGAAATTTACTCATCTTGTAAGATGTTTGCTACAAAACAAACAAACAAACCCCAAACTCTGAAGGCTAATTAATCCCTTTCACTATGGAAAGCTGGGCAGCTTGGTGTAGACCTTAACATTTAATGACTGTGTTACAGGTATACTTCTTAGAAATAGCAAAGAATTGAGGCCTCAGGAACTTAAAACACACACAAAATCAGATTGCTTTTTCCATTTTATGCTTCACTTACAAAAACAAAAGGCTGTTACCTACTTAATTCCTGTGTTTACTACTACCTCCATGAAAATCTAAATGTGAACAGTTTTGTATTTCTGTTAACAGTCTATGTAGCAGTAATTATCTGTTTGAAGGGTAATGCATCCTTTCAGCAGCACTTGGCCTGCTTACCCAAGCATATACTGGGAAAAAAAGTAAATCTCACTCAAGCCTGCTCAAACAGAATGACTCCAGGGTCTGCCAAAGCCAGGAGACAGCATGGGCTGACCCAGGGCCAGATAATCAGACTCCCCTGTTTAGCTGGTCCAGGGCTCAGAGGTCCTACCAGGGAGCCAGCTGCCAGCAAGACTCAAGCTCCTGTTGCTGCTGCTGCTGATGTTCAGCTACCAGTGGGTCAGAGGAAGAGGTGGCAGATGATATGGCATAATGACAGGTTACAGTCTCCTGAAAAGAAGGAGTAAACAGAGGAGAGACTGTAGGAAGAGAAAGGTGGAGTGAAGGCACAGGAGTATGACAATAATGTTTCTTTGGACTTGTGCTGATAAATGGGACTTCCTAAAAGACGTCTCAAGTCAAACAGGTAATCAAAACTTCACAAAGTAGGGTCATTATCCGTAACAAGACAGACAAGTAGTTTATTCACAAATTTTCAGTGCGATGAAAACCAGCTTCAAGCTTTTGCTATTCACCACGTGTTACAAAGGTGCCTAATCACAAGGCAATCTTAATACTAGGCTACATGTCACAGGTTCATCCCTGCAAGATACAGGAAAAAAAAACAAAATGCCAGAATAAATTTTAGCCTACCCAGTATGTGAAACTTCTGTATTTTTGTTAAAGATTTTCAACTTTTTTTTTTTTTAAGCCAGCATTAAAATTGCTTTAGTTTACAGAAATCTGCCCTGAGTGGAGTACACCTTTCTCTTTTCTGACCTGAAACAAATTGAGAAGCTTCATTCAACTCACATGTGCTGAGCCAGCATTTTCTCCAAACAAACTCTTCCTCTTCCCTTTTTCCTGCTCTCCACGCAAATAATCAAACAGACATGCACCAAGCTCATTAAGAAAACCCGAAACCAAACCCCAAACCAGTCAGTTTTAGACAGGCTCCTTGATTCAGTTAGACTTGTAACCACACAAGCCATCCTCACTACAACAATGGGTGACTGAGCAACAAGGCTATTACTTCCCCAGCTCATAACACATCAAAAATTACACTTAGTACAAAGCCGTATCAACTGCCAAGCAGGACTGGATATTTCAAAGTAGTAATAAGCTTTACAGCTCATTGCACCTACTCTTTAACCCTAATTGAAGCTGCATGTCTCGTAATGAGATGCTTGTACCTAAGGATTTCTAGTTTTACAGATTTATTTCATTTTCACAAAAATATTTTGAAAAGAAGAAGCAACAGATTACAGACATCCCCCCAAAAAAGAGCTTTAAGAGTGCTGTCACTCCTAGAGGACTAAAGTACTCATGTTACTTCTGATCTCTGGAAGGATCCAAAATAGTAGCCTAAGCCTCTCTGAAAGAAAACGTGAGATTTTTAGATAAAACTGTTTCTTTTTCTGAGAGAAAACAAAACAGAGCTTGACCCAGATAACATAATCCTATAGATAAATCCACTTAAGTTACCCACTAGTATAACTGTAATTTTCAACTCATCCCAAGCTCTCAGAAACACAAGGTCCATGCAACACTGTATCAAAACTAAAACAAGTTCCTTAAGATCTAACTCAGTTGTGCATGCTTTGGTGGTGTTTGGACTGTATGCTATCTTAATCTCATCTAAAACAGAGATTTATAGCCTAAATTCCACTGCAGCTTCTTTCATTCGTATACCGGTTGCCGCCCAGAAAAATCGATTGACAAACTTCTAATAGTAGTTATAAACTAGACTTCAGAAAGACTTCAAAATCGCCATCCTTCTCCACTTCCTCCTTTGAAAGCCATCTTCCCCACCGACCGACAAATCTGGTTACTGTCTACGGAAAAAAAATGAGTTGTAAAAACAAAGAATCTCTGGGGTGGAGGGCTCGGCCGAGCTCTCGTAAACAGCGAGCCGATGAATGAAGCACCCGCGAGGGTGGTTTTACATCGCCGCGGCCAGCGCTGGGCCCCGGGGCAGGCCCTCGGGTTGAGTCCCGCGGCTGTGCCCGGCTACGAGCATCGGCTCGAGGGGGCGCGCGCGAGGCCCAGCCGCCCCCAGCGCTCCTCGGACCCCGCGGGGGCCGCGCCCAGGCGGGACGTGCCGCGGGTGACAGGCGCCTCTCGGCCCAGCCTGCCCCGGCAAGAAGAAGCTATTGGCCTGGGCGCCGCCAGCGCTGGGGAGGCGGCACCGGGCCTCTGCTCCCCACCAGCCCAGGGGAAAGAGCCGGGTCAGGAGCCGCCGCTGCTTCCCCTCCATTGCCCCACGGGGCCCGCAGTGGCCGAACGCGGGCCTCCCGCCTCACCACTCACCAGGATGCGCTTGAAGAGCGCGTTCTCCTTGGGCGGCAAGCTCACCGACGGCATCCTCCCCGCCGCTGACTCGGGCGCTGCCGAAGGGCTCCGGGGGGGGGGGGGGGCAGCGACCGGGCAGCGTCCCGTCCCCGCTGCTGGTTTGCCGCTGCCGGGAGCCTCCCCGCCGAAGTCTGTCTGCTACTACCGCCGCCTCCCCACCCCCCGCCCTCCCCCCCACAAACCACGGTGCTCTCGCCGGCCCCGGGCCCGGCCTCTCCCGGCCGCCGTCTGCGCGCCGGGCTGCCGCGCGCCGGGCTGCCGCGCGCCGGGCTGCCCCGCGCCGAGCCGCGCGCCGAGCCGCGCGCCGAGCCGAGCCCCGGACGGCGGCTCACGTGGTAAGTGAACAGGCCGGAGAGAGGCGCCGCCAAAATGGCCACCGCCGAGGGCTTCCCCAGCCGGGTCACGGCAGACCACGCGCATGCGCCGCGACCCCGCGCCGCCGCCGGGTCCGCCCTCGCCCCCGACAGGTGGTACAGGACGGGATGGGAGGTGACGGGCGTATCCCAGCCCGCCCGCTGAGTCAGTGCCTGGCCCCGCGGCGGGAGCACCCTGCGTGCCGCTGCCCGCCGGGCGGTGTTTGTACTTGAAACCGTCACCGGTTAGCCCCGAGGGGGTCTCGCACGGGGCCGGGCTAGAGGAGCCGGTTCCCCGCGCAGAGCTGACAGGCAGCTGTATCCTCGCTGCCGTCAGCAAGTAGGGTTACGGGTGGGGGAAGAGGGCGGGATTGCGCAGCAGGCCTCGTGCTGCGAAGCGCGTCCGCTCGCCGCGCCCGGGAAGGGCAGTCCCTCCCCCGTGGGCGGAGCTGAGCCGACAAGATGGCGGTGACACTGAGGGTGAGGGAGGCTTTGAGGTTGGCGGCCAGAACGCCAACTCTCGGTAAGCGGCCGTAGGGCACAAGCGGGGCTATTGTCGCGACTCGGAGTAGTAGGGAACCCGCGTTGGTTGAGGCGGGTAGGAACTTGTTCTGTGTTCTGGGAGCGTGGTGCCTGAGGGGACTGCACCGGTGCCCCGCGGCCTGTCCGCTGACCCAGGTGCTGTAGGAGCTTGGTTGCCTGCGGGGTGTGAGCAGCGTGCCCGGTAGCTGGAGTGCTCTTCGCTTTGTGCCTGGAGTTACAGCAAGCTGCTGTGTCAGTTTTCCTCTGTGTATTTTAATTTAAACCAACTAGTTGTATATTGGGTTGTTTTTCGTTTTTTTTTTCCGATGTGGAGCTGGAGCTGGTTATGGCCAGGGGTGATCCTATGCTCTCCGCTGTGGATGTGGTGCTGGCACTCCTCAGGCAGGCAGTGCTGGTGATGCTCTCGGGGAGGGCGGGGAGCGTGGGGTGGGCGGTCATGGAAGCTTTGGGGTCAGCAACAGGTGACCCAGTAAAAGAGTAGGGTAGGAAAGGGAGAAAGGGACTGTTTTGAACTGTTAATAGATCCTCATCTCTTATTAGTTCAGGGAGCGCATGCTGCAGTTTATCTATACGTGGGTGAGTTGTAATGCTATTATGGTGACCACCTTTATGTGATAATTGCATTTATTTCATCTTTTTGTGGTCTGTGTGGTTTTTTCCCTGATTGAGTGTCAGTAATTGACGTGGTAGTCTAAGCCTGAGAAATGCTAACGTGTTTGTAATCTGCTGTTTTAGCTTTTACTCGTTCTGCATTTGTTGCAAGAAAACGTAATTATGACCAACCAAACTGGCTTGGAGTTGGCCTGGCTTTTGGCACCAGTGCTGCCTTGTGGGCTTATGTAAGTGGTTTTATTTGGTTTTATTGAACTTTATGTGGTTTTGAACTATTCCCAAACCATACTGATCCGAACTTAATGACTGCAACCTATTCAGCTGAATGAGGTAATGGGTGCTTATAGCAGGTGTCAAGACTGAAGCATTATTAATTATGTTTTCCCAAACTATGTTGCGCTTTTCTTTATGAAAGTGAACAGGTTATTAAGCTTTTCTCTGTTGCAAACTTAAAACATCTGCAGCAGAAGAATTTATTCCTCAGGTCTGTTGGTTTAAGGCTTTAACATTATTTTCCCCAATGGATCTTAAAGAAAAGAAAAATAAGGGAAGAAAAAAACCTAGGGGTATGCCTAAATGAAACTGTGTTGCGGAGCAAAATGTAGATGTAAGATGTTTCCTGTTTCAGAGAACTGATAGGCTCAATGTTGATAAAGCAAGCAGGGCATGGTAGGTTTTGTGAAGAAATGTTCAGGATAAGCAGCACTCCCATGATGACCACACTTTTCAGTGTGTGTGGGGGGTCCCTTTGGGTTTTTTCCCATTTTTGTGGTGGTGGTGGATTGATTGACAGTAGGAACCTTCCCCCCACTCTCAGTTGGCTAGCAGAAAATGTTTGAGAAAGCTGCAGAAAAAAATGCCTTACTGGACAATTGATAGTTTACAGATCATTTACTCTGTATTGTTCTAGTTACATATTGGTTTGTATTCTGATAATAGCAGTTTTATGTGCTGTAGAAATATTTTTCTGTTGTCCCAGATGTTTATCATATACTGCTATTTTATAGCTTTTCAAGCAACATAATGATGATGTAATGGAATATGAAAGAAGAAAACGAGAGAAACAACATAAGTGTACAGACTGCTCATAGTAAGTGTATACCTACAGATGCTTTTGACTTAGCTGATTGTAAATTATGCAGATCTTTGACTTGGGTTTGCAATCAGATACTGGACTGGCTTGTCTTCCTCCCTTATTTTCCTTAATATTTTGTATCTTGGCTTTTGCTATTCATCTAACTCATTCCCAGTTTTAAAGTGATAAGGTGACTGATCAGTATTTTCATACATCCATTTGTGTGCATGTTCACTGCCAGCTGTCTTGGACATGCAGACTTTTGGAAAATAATATATCTCTTACAGTGTCTATAATAAGGTTAGGTTGCAAGGAGAATACCTTACAAGTGCTTTAGGGGCAAGGTGATCAAGTGCACTAAGAATACCTTATCTTTGTCTCCTTTGTTATTTTAACAGGTCTACAGTGGGAAACATTTTTCTGTTTCTTATATATTGTGCATAAGAATGATATAAAGTCAATGTTGAAGACTTGTGCTACAATGCAAGTTGTGTGTGGTCATTGCCCTTTTGATATAAAAAAGTTGTATTTCTGCCAGCTAAAATGTCTGTTGGGAATTGTGGCCTCAGGGCAATTAATATGCCACAATGGGATTGCTAATAGTAAGTATAGGAAAACTTGTAGTGGTGTGGTTATTTTTCCCATAATTATTCCTCTCCAGCTATAAATGCAGTATGCTATGAGGTGTTTCTGACAATATCCATTGTGTCTATTTTTCTTGTTGCTAAGATTTTTTTCCTCCCTCTTTCTTAGGTTGACAGTATGATCAGTAAGAAGCAATGTGCTCACCACCTGTCCTGCAAATAAGTGAGAGCAGCAGAAGTACAAAGTATCTAAATACTTACATGTTCATACATTTCATGTGCAGAATTATGAAATAAATTATAACATAGGAAAGAAAATTATGAAGAATTTTCTTCCATTTATATTTCATTCTGCTGGTCTTGAAATGGTTTTATGTGGCATTTCTCTTCCATAGTTTATCACCGTTCTTTTCAAAACCCTTTGGAAGTTGTTCTACAACATTAGACATTGGCTCAGAAGGAAGCTCAGCAAGTATTCAAGAAGCTAAGTATACCCTTGTCCTGCTAGCATTTTCGTTGCTATATTTATAAAGTAAGAGATAAGCAAATATAAGAATGGCATTTATGGGAAGCCTGATAAAAATGATCTGTACAAAAGCCAAAATGTGCATTTGTTACTTTGTGCCTCAGAGAAGCAGCTTTCAACTCAAATCTTGACCAGGTAGGCTTTCAAAGCTTGACCTAGTGACTTACAGATGCCGTAACCAACATTACACATCTGATTGCAAGCTTGGTCTGGTTCCTTGAGTGCTGTTGCTCTTCAGTCCTTTGTGGTCTGAATTGATTTTAATTATTTCTAATTCTCTTCCCCTAGAGCAGAGATGAAGCTGTGTCAGAGAACAAAAATTGGAGGTGCCCAGCCTTTAAATTCTATGTATCTTTATCCTTTTTAGGAAGTTTGCTTTGCTTTTGCTACTGCTTGCAAAGCTGAAATGTATTCTGTAATTTCAGAAGGTGAGGACAAAAAAGCAGTCTTGAATCTTGGAGGCTGTTTATTTGACCCCTCAGTCTGTCCCTTCCTCAGGGACTGTTACCACGCATTCTCTTGAGCACAGCAGCTTTTCTGTCTTGCTGCTTTCAGGTTTATTGCAGATGGAGCTGTATCCTTCTACTCTCCAAGGAACTGCTCCTTGGAGAAGTTGTAGCTGGCAGTTGAGATGGTGGTGTTCTGTGCAGTGCCTTACCCAGGGTTCATGCCCTGTGTGGCAGGGGAGAGGCTGGTGTTTTCTGCTCTTTTTGGAACTGCTCTGGCCTGAAAGATGCTCGGAGCCTCTGTGGTGAGACTGCAGAGCTGCTGTCGGTTTGCAGCGTGAGTGCTGCCTTTGGAATGCTTGAGCTGTCTCTTCATGCATCAAGGTCAGACAAGGACAAAGGACAAAAAAGGGGATAATGACAAGCGGCAGGATATGGCATCAGAAAATCATTGAGGGACCATCAGAGTAGTGTGTAGAGGAGAAATAACGGCACAGCCGTCTAACGATATGGGGAGGAAGAGGACAGCTGTGTGGCTCTGACCTAGACGCACACGTTCATCGTAACAGCTGACACGACTTGTAGTGGGATGGATTTACTTCTGCAAGCATTTTTTTAGCGACCCCATTGTACTGGCACCCTGTCCCCGAGTGCCTTTTGCTCTCAGTTTAGCTTGAGTTCTTCAGAAATTGTTGGCGGAGGAACGCTCTTGGAGAGCTTTCTATTCTAGTAAAGCTCCAGCCCCGCACCTCACAACCTCCCCCCCTTTTATCTTTCCGCACGCTCCGGGCCTGTACAGCTCCCGGTGATTCCCCTGTCGCAGTCCGCTGGCGTGTGGCGCGCCAGTGTCTGTTTAGCCCTGCCCTTCCGCGGCGGCGCTCTCTATCCCGCGTCCCGGCAGCCACGGTCCGGACGTTGCGGCACCGGCTCCCCTACCATCACGAGCCCGGGAGCGGCGCCCAGGTGCGGCTGCACGCGGCTCGGGGCGGGGCTGCCGCTGGCCCCGCCCCCCCCC